AAGCTGAGAATGATTCTCTTGCTCCACAAATATTTTTGTCTTAAGAATGGTAAAGCTTTGCTGTGGGGAAGTATGATCTTAGGAAAGAATTTAAGAACTGCAAAAGCTACTGCAAGCACCTTGTGGCCCTTATGTTACTAATTAGGGCCACTTTCTGACAAATTCCACTAATGTGGAGCTGAGGACATGGATGCAAAGGCTTGGAAGGATGAAACAGCCTCCAACTCATGTGGAAGTCGGTTTCAATGTCAAATTAAGTTCAAGGGGATCAGATTTGAGGTTGATCTTGAGCAGACATTGAGAAGCGATCTGTGGAGCCCTTCTGAGGGCCTTTTGCACTCACACAGACTTTCATATTTGCTGGAGTGATTGCATGTTTCCCATGTTGCTTTTGTGAGACTGGTGTCTTTAGCCTTTTTTGTCTAAAGAGGTGGGAGCTTTCCACTGCTTCATGAAAGAGCAGATAACTATAATATGGGAAAGATCAGATGAACTACGTCTCTAGGAATGAAAATAATCTTCTTGGAACAGCTAGAAACAGAGTAAGAACCAAGGCGGAGAACCACGCACGTAAGTGTCATGGGACTGCTGACTTTTATGTACTGCTGTGCTCTCTCTGCAGAATGACGGGGATGCATTTATAAGGTCTGTGAGTTTATTATTCAGGAAGGCCAGAAAAACTGGAGAAATAGAGAGATGTTTCTGTGCCTTAGCTTGCCTTGGGGAATAAGTACCCAAAGAAATATTGAGGTGCAGAAGTAGAAAAAGAGGTTCTGGAAAGGCCAAGTAGCTCAGAAGTGTCCTGGGAAACTGCCTCAGGATTAAGGAGTGATCCTGGGCCTGAGCTCAGAGACTCAAGCTTTTCCAAATCAGGTGTCTAAGGGGAAATATTTACCTGGGTTGTCTTGAAGTTCTTAGTTTGAAAAATTGGAATGTGATTATGAAAAGATCCTTTTTCAGGATATTTTGTTTTTTTTTGGCACTGCTGCTTCTGTCATGGCCAGAGGCCAGAAAAAAAAATCTTCAGATTATTTGAAGACTCCAGGTTCTCATAAAAAGTTCAATGTCAGTTTGCTTCTACAAGCTGTGAAGACTTGGCTCCTGTACTGCCGTGGGTTGTTAAGTAATGCTAGGCCAGAGACAGCCTGCCCAGTCTGCGAGGTGCGCCTGGCGAGAGCGCGGGAGCCGCGGCTAGTCCTGAGGGCTCCAGCGACCCGGAAGGCAGACGCCCGCTCGTGACACTGGGCATCCTCTGATGTGCACGAGTCAGGACCCTTCCTACTACTTGGAAAGCCACAAACAGCAGGTCTTTAAAGACAGACTGTAATATCACAGCATGAAATTAAAAAAATTGATATTTAAGATAAAGCTACCATAAAAAGGAAAGTAAAGAAAAGCATGGTTAAATTGTGTTAAATTTCATTTCTTAAAAAAAAAAAAATGTTTCCGATCATTTTTAAAACAAATAGTTCATATCATTTTTTGGAGAATTATCTCTACTTGATTTTATAATTCTCCCCAGCTGGAGCAATGTTTGTGAGAGGAAGGAGCAGCAGCCACACAGGTCGTGTGACCCGGGGCCCAGCACCGGCAACCGCTTGTGACACTGTGCGCACGAAACATCTTTTAGGAAGTCTCTCTTTTCTTGTGCTTTCGGTGCTTTATCTGACTCTACATTCATTTTATTTGAGTGCAGAAATTCAAGAAAAATCTGATGTTCCCTTCTCCCATCATTCTATGTATGCTGAACCTAAAAAAATCTGCTTCCAAAATTTCAAACTTTGTGTTCCTAAGGTATGAGCTTTGATCTCTTTCCCAGGTAAAATACCTGTTGCTGAATTTGACATATCATTTACAATTAAGTTTACAAGTCAAACTCAATAGTGGGCTTAAATCAATTTATTATTTTATTCCCCAAAAACTTCTCCCAATTAATTATTTCTGATAATGGCATTAGCCAGTCTCCTGGAAGCCTGAAGGTTCACTTTGCATTCAGCCAACATCAAATGTGCACCTAATCCATGCTGCTGGCAGTGGTTCTGGGTACTGGGGATGCAAGAGTAACTGAGATGAATGAGACCCCCCCCCCATTACGGCTTTTATGGTGCAGCAGGAAGATGGAGAATGGAAGAATCAGGTAAGCCAACTTTCGCTAGAGAGAAATGCTATCAAGAAAGTAAAGAGTGTATACATATTTTGAGGGCTGGAGTCAGGCAGGAAGACCACGGTATTGTGCAAGATGGTCCGGGGAGCTGCTTCGGGAGGGGATTTGAACTGAG